GCTCTGGGGTCAACCCACGTGCCCTGGGCTGGAGGTCTTGCGGTCCCCACCGTTGGCCTCTCCTCCGCCTGCTGCTCGGGGACTCCCTCTTCCTACTGCTTGGGGACTCCCTCCCCTCTTTTCGACTGCACCTCCACGTGCGTGTTGCGTGGTGGCACCTCAGTGCTTGGAGGAGGAGCTACTAGAGCCCCATCATCATCCGACCACTCAGATATTGTCGCACTCTACGTTCGACTGGTCTAATCACCGCCAAGCGAGATGCCGCCTGACTTGCGGGGAGCTACGCCCGCTGTTTTCCTCTTCTTTCGAGCAAGCTCATCTATCGCCGCCCTTTTCCCCTAGACATTCTTTGACACCGAGTGGGTGGGACTCTCCTTTCGACCAGCACCTTCGCCTTCGGACTCTGACGAGACGCGAACGGCACCTTCCTCCGGCTGAGTGGTTGGCCAAGCATACACTGCCTTTGGCCAATCGCTCCTCAACATGCCCGAGAAGTATGCCGCTCATTCCTACAAATCGATCTTTCCACAAGCGAATCAGTTCACTACTCCACACCGGTACAGGATAAAGAGCATCAGGAACAACAGTTGAGAATTTTACCTGAGGAGGTGGGTTCATGTAGTTGAACGCTCTCGTCTGCCCTAGCACGCTGAACGACATGTTTGGAGCGAATAGTTCAGCTACTCGGCATAGCACAACCTCCTTCGACAGCCTCTCCGTCCTCTCCTGGGTACCGTCAGTGTCTGCCTTGAAGTCAAAACCCCTATGGGCCCTCTCCTTGTAGTTCAGTACTATGAAGCTCGCCGCCACCAGTACTACATTCATCTTTATGCCCTTTATCAGGCCGAGGAGCTCCCTCACCTGTTCCATATTAGCACTGCTTGGTTTCTCCGACCAGCTCCTCTGGTTCTTCGGAATGTGGTCAACGTCGTAGCGGATGGCAGGATGACTCTGCTTCATGTAGAACCATCTGGCATTCCACCCCTTCAGCGAGGTGTTTAGCAGCACAGTGATGTACTCGCCGGCCATCCCATCGTGGAGTTGTAGATCCACACCCCCGACCACTCTAGAACCTCCGCCATCCATCTTCTTCAGCCAAAACAGGTGTCGGAAGAGGTTGAAGTGGGGAAGAATTCTAAGATACGCCTCGTAGAAATGGATAAAAATGGAGATGTGCAAGATGGTGTTGGGATGCAGATTGCATAGACTCACTCCCCAGAACTCCAACAAATCCCGCAAGAAAGGATGAATAGGAAATCCTAATCCACTCCAGAAATAATCTTCAAATACTATGACTTCATCGGTATGCGGCATCGGGTAGGGCTCACCCTTGGCCGGACGCCATTAGGCGGTGACACAGTCAGGGAGAATGCCTTCCTCTGCCATCCCATTGAGCTCCGCCTCCCCCAAGAGTGATGGCACCCATTCCTTGTAATGGCTTGATCTGGCGGCCGCCTTCTTTGGGTTACCAACTCCCCTCTTTGACGCCATCTCTCAGATCTGGTTTGGGATTGGTTGCGGAAGCGCCTGTGAATGTGAATCGGGAAGCGCGAGGGCTGAGGAGGAAGACGAAGTGGCGAAGTGGCAAAGGTGGGAGCGCGGAAGTGCGGCGGCACAGTTATAAAGCACCCCCCACTTTTCACATTCAAGGGTTTTTGGGAAACTGCTCCACGATTTGTGCCTCTCCAAATTCTCCAAAGCGGCATGGTGGGCCGTTACCTAGGCTTCCACGCAACTACAGCCCACATCGCCCACTTTTTGCCGCAACTTGTTACTGCACATCGAATATTCACCGACTTCTCCACAATACCATTAAGGCTCAGTAACTCCTACTGTACAGCTATTACCCTAGTTTTTTCTCCACGATTTGATTTCTTCGAGATTTCCACTTGTGGCTTGGGGACTACATCACTACGACTTGGTTCCTCACCACACTGGGGACTTTCTTCTGTTTACTGTTGTTTCTGACCGTGCACCACGTGACCACGTCACCTACTGTCAGGCTCGGGGACTAAGTGAGCACACTTCACCTTGTAGTGAATGTGCGTTTTTTCATTTTAGGGCTCCGCGTGGGACCTGGTTGCCTGCTCGGCTGGTATTCTGCTTTTCTTCTACTTTGGACCCTGGCACCATGTCACTACGTCACCTACTATCAGGCTCGGGGACTAAGTGGGCACACTTGACCTTGCGGTGAGTGGGTTTGCTTTAATATAGAAGACTCCGCGCCTCCTGAAGTTGAAGAAGATTATCTCCCTTTCTCGTGGTCGAACTCTAAGTGGGCACACTTCACCTTGCGGTGAATGTGCGTTTTTTCATTTCAGGGCTCGCCCAAGGACTGGTTGCCTGCTTGGCTGGTCTTTTGCTTTTCTTCTACTTTGGACCCTGGCACCACGTCACTACGTTCCTACTGTCAGGCTCGAGGACTAAGTGGGCACACTTGACCTTGCAGTGAGTGTGTTTGCTTTAATCTGGAAGACTCCGCGCCTCCTGAAGTTGAAGAAGATTATCTCCCTTTCTCATGGTTGGACTCTAAGTGGGCGCACTTGGTCCACCGCGGGGAAATTTTTTATTTTGAAGTTGAGCTCCTTACATCCTTCTGGCAAGCCTAATTTGGGAAACTCATGCTCGGCCAGACAGCTAAGCTGGTCGGCTACGGTCCACAACTGCTCGGCGACTCATTATGGTGGTCGGACCATGAGTCTAACTGCTCAGCTTTGTTCACACCTTCTCGGACAAGCTCAAGACGGCGTTGCACAGCGGATACAGGGCACTCGGGGACTAGCTGTGGGGGGCATGACCCCGGATATCCACGGCAAACTACATGTGCTACGCTCCTAGGGGCGATCCAGCCCACAAGACGAATACCTACGGTGCACGATACTACTCGGCGTGTACCGTAAGACATTAAGGGCGATATCCTGAAGATACTATGAGATCTGTTAGGGTACATTCGATCCCATGATTCATGTAATTTGTTATTACTTTCCGGTTATTTCCTAGATCTAACTGACTTGTAACCCTGCCACCCAGACTATATAAGGCGGGCAGGGACCCCCTCAAAACACATGCAATATCATACGATAGACAATACAATTCAACAGACCACAGGAGTAGGGTATTACATCCTGCTGACGGCCTGAACCTGTCTAACTCTTGTGTCTCTGTTGCCTTCTTATTCTTAATTACACGCATCTCTGTCGATCAATATACCTTCGTGGGATACTCCTCGGAAGACTGCCGACGATATTCTGTCGACAGTCCTCCTCAACACCTCCTCCTGTGGCTACCGGCTAGAGACAGCGAGGGCCTGGTGGCCGTGCCATACTTCGTGCCTACCTCGAGGCTCCTTGCGCCCTGGTGCCCCCAGTGGAAGAAGCTCACGATAGCCAAGCCCGTGGTGCTCTTCGCTCCGCCGCCGCCAACCCTAATCTGCCCATCGAGGTGGTTATTGAGTTCCTCAACACGCCTGACACAGTGGTCGTCGCGCCAGTGTCACGCCTGACATGTTGCAAGCGTATGTTTCAAATGTTTTAAATGTTTTTAGATGTATGTTGCAAGCGTTTCATATGGATGTTGAAAAGTAGAATGGGATGTTGCATATGTTGCAATGGCTATACACATATTGCATATGCGTCTGCTCCAAATGTTTCATCTGATTTTTTCAGACGTATGTTGCAAGTGTGTTTATTTGGATGTTGCATATGTTTTACACATATGTTGGAAGTGTTTTATTTGGATGTAGCATATGTTTTGCAATGGCTTTTCAAACGTTTTTTTAGGTGTCTTTCCAAGTGTTTCATATGCATGTTTCAACCGTTTCATCTGTCTTCAGATGTATGTTCCAAATATTTCGTCTAGATGTTTCAAAAGTAGACCGGGTGTTGCGCATGTTGTAATGGCGCCATTGGCTGGCGGACATGAACGTGACGAGACTTGGTGCTAACCTCGACGGAGGAGCAGCCTTCCAAGGATGCGAAGAAGGCAGCGCGGCGAGGGATGGGCCGCGGAGGGGGCTCGGCAGAGGCGCGTCTGAAATGGAAGCGCGTGGCGCATGGGGGCACGGAAGGGATAGGCTGTGGATGGGGTACGCGGGTGCGACAGCTACCGTTCGTCGAATCGGATGACCCTGACCTGCCTCTGGACACATCCTTTGGATCAGACGTTTGGGCACTAGTGTCGCCTTTATACTTGAGACGGAGTTTTCGTCGAACATTTTTAACCATAAGTTATCCACCGAATCATTAATTAGTGTGTAACATTATATTGCTGTGTACGAATTAGTCCAATAAAAAAACATAAAGAAGCAGATTCCATATAGAGCAGAGCTGCCTACGACTTATCCGTGGAACCTAGTCAATGATTGCACTCTTAACTGAACAAAACTATTGGCTGATCACCTACAAAAACAAAACGAGCAAGTAAACAACCGGCACTCATAAAACACGTTCTTTTTTGTTGGGAAACACCAATGAGCAACGTTTGTAACTACTTGCAGCCTGTGAGATTAGAGGCCTGCCCAAGAGGGAGAGAAAAGAAACTATCATTGACTGGTCAGCCTCAATAATAGGTAGCTAAAGGCTTGTTGTTCATGAGTGCATCATGCATGCATGGTTTCCCAAGAAATATATACTCGTACTTATATAACAAGCTGGTACGGTGCATCTTCGAGCCATGCTTTCTTTAACATCTACTCTCGGCAGTAGTCGGCAGCCAATTGTTAGTACGTTGCCATCACATGCATGGATGTGCACATACATATATATGTATATAAATACATCCATGTATAAGCGCTAAATGCAAGCCTCAACTCACAGACCTTAGCTTACCCTGCCTTGGAAACTTCAAACTCGATAGAGAGAGAGAGAGAGAGAGAGAGAGAGAGAGAGAGAGAGATCATGTGCCAAGATAAGAAGTCAGGGGGCTCCGCCAAGTGGCTGCACCGTTTCAGCCTCATCTTCCGCATCGCCGGCATAGGCTTGGCGGCGGTGGCCGCGGCGGCCATGGCCACGGCGAGCCAGTGCACCGTCTACGCCGACTATGGCGCACGCCCGCGCACCGTCACGTACAGCGACTTCCCTGCCTTCGTGTACGTACTCCAGACCAGAGAACTAAAAATCCATTGCCGCAAGTACCTGCACAACATTTTTACATTTGCGGCTGTGAATCTGTGATGCAGGTACCTGGTGGCGGCGACCTCCATTGCCACATTGCTAGAGGCGGTAGCCCTGTTCCTCAGCTGGAGGATGAAGTGCAAGAGCAAGAAATCCTGGAGGGTGCTCATCATGCTGCTCCTCGGCGCCGTCGTCCCCGCGCTGCTCTACACGTCAGCCGGCGCGGCGTTCGCTGTCGGCTGGGACATCTCCTACTACTTGGAGCCCAGCGGGCGGCGCTTCAGCGTCTGCCGCAGCAGCGTCGGCGACAGCTTCTGCGGGCGGGTGCACGTGTCCATGTGGCTCGCGCTCGGCGCTGCCGTGGCTGTGTCCATTGCTGAGTTCCTGACCACGTTCCGGTGGTGCCATGGCGGTGGATCGGGATCAGACTCCGGCTGTGACTCGGACTCGGATTCGGAGTCCGTATGTGGGCATGGGTGCCATTGCAAGCATTAGGATGTGCCATCTTTGTTGCGTTTAAATTTCTTGGTAAATCAATGATTGTAAATCAATGGCTTGTTTACTCTTTGTGATTGTTTGGCCACAAGTCGTCATGTCGCTTTTTTTTTGGTTAAAAAAAAAGCATGCAACTCTGCTAAGTGTACTGCAAGAAAGGAAAAGGATTCAAAGTGGACTGGACCAAAATGAGGGGGTTAATTGATTCGGTTGGCCTGTCAGTTCCCAAACCATGTTGGGCCGTCAGTTTGAGTTGCAAAGCAAGTGCTGGGCCGTCAGTTTGACTCATGAATGCATAATTCTGAGCAGAGATGTTAACAATATATATACTACTACTATGAATTAACCATGGAACCTAATCATTGCTAACACCCTAATACTCCAGGCAAATTTGTTGACTCGCCAAGCAAACTAAGCGATTTAGCGAGTAAACTAGTGGCGAACCGCCGTCGATATAATATGCAAGTATGTAACAACTAGTAGAATCAAGTGAGATTAGATGCTAATCCACTAATTAGTCATTACCAAGAAGGCAAGAAAACAAAACGGAGGTGAGCTCGTCGTGCTAACGAACGTTAGTTGAGCGTGCAAACATGCCGCCTCCAATCACTCCCGTTGACCTTCCCTTCATCATCCACTTGTTAATTGTCACCAAATGCTCATATATGTATATATACATCTACGCGCCAGCTCAAGCTAGCTAAGGCTCAACAAGCTCAAAGTCAACAATCGAGCTTCTAACAAGCTAGCTTGCTCATCCATCCATCGATCGGCGCACGTCAACCATGCACGACGAGGAGAAGAAGGAATCCAAGTGGGCGACGGCGGTGAGCATCGCCGGCCGCATCGCGGGCATGGGCCTGGCGGTGGCGGCGGCGGTGCTGATGTCCACGGCGAGCCAGTGCACCGTGTACGCGGCTTATGGCGCGCGGCCGCGGACTGTCACCTACAGCGACTTCCCACCCTTCGTCTACCTGGTGGGCGCCGCCTCCATCGCGGCGTTCCTAGAGGCCATCGCCATCTTCCTCGTCGTGTGGAAGAAGGGCAAGGACAAGACGGCCAAGGTGCTCATGCCGCTGCTGGGCGTCGCCGTGCCCGCGCTGCTCTACTCGGCGACCGGAGCCGCGTTCGCCGCGGTGGCTGACATGTCCTACTGCTCCGCCAACGGCAGGCGCGTCAGCGTCTGCGCCGGTAGCGCCGACGCCGGTGGTGTCGGCGGCAGCAACTTCTGCAGCCAGGTGCATATCTCCGTCTACCTCTTGCTGGCCGCGGCCGTTGCCGTGTCCGTCGACGAGGTGGTCAGGGGCGTCGGAGGCTCGGCGTACGGCGGAGATTCGGACTCGGACTCCAGCTCCAGCTCCGAGTCCGGCGGTTGTGACCATGGGTGCCACCACAAGCATTAGGTTTTGCAAATGAATACTGCTGGTACGTATACAATACAGGCCACCAATAGGATTTCAATAGCATTGGTGGCCTGTGTATACGTACCAGCATTTCTTCGACAGCTTTTGCAGTTTTTTAACAAATTTTGCATGCGGAAGTACGTTGTTGTTCCTGCTAATTAACATTCCATCAGTTATTTACTCCGATCACAAAAGATTATCAAAATTGAACAGACAGAAAGTAACTTATAATTGAATGTAGACCATAACATGATTTGTTTTTAAAATCAGTAAATTATTTCACCTAGTTGCCCAATAACGAAAACGTAAGATTTGTGGAATACCAAAAATAAGTGATGTGTAATTGGCCTCTAGAATATAATTTTGACTGCTACTTTTATTTTTAGAAATGCTATCACACGTGTGTTTTAGCACCAAAAAACACATTGATTTTTTTTATCTCTCTTGCTCTCTCTTTCTCACCGGTGACCAAAAGAAACTGCAACTCGCGTCCATACTCTCCGCCATAGACGCCGGTGAGCAGGCCGCATACGGTTAGATCGGCAGCATCGCGCTCCAGCACCTCGAGCTCCTCGGCCCCTTGTGTCCCCAACGCCATGGCGTGCGCGTGCTGGCTGACGCCCGAGGTACACCACGTACGATGACAGCTCGCCGGATGCCGGACGCAGCAGCGAGCATGAGCGAGCACCGAGCCGCCGAGAACATGAGGGCGGTGAGGACGGGCGCTATCGAAGCTCAGATAAGATGAGCCAACGCCATGAGGGTGAGCAGCCCTGCATCGACGGCGGCTACCTGCAGTGACCTCGACCTGTGGCGGTGGTGGTGGCGGATCTGTCATTTGTCCTTTCATAGAAAAAAATTATTTCCTGTGATCTATGATCTTATGATTGTCTGAAGGTAAAAGAAGGCTGGAGGTAGAAGAAGGGTGGAGGCTGTTGGATCTTAATCTTATAGTGCAAAAAAATTCATATATTGAAATTGCATAAAACACATGGTTGTGTAGTATTCTAAAAAATTGCAAATAAACCCCAGTTATTAGGGAACTACTTTTCCACTCAATAATTTTAGAATATCAAAATGAAGAAATATAAAATATATTGCGAAAAAGGTTTTTATTTATTAAATGTTCATACAACACAATATGTGGCTTACTTGTGACCATACGGTGTCCCCTAGCTGGCCAAAGGTGAAAAGTAAAAATATAATATACACCAAAAATACACACTATGACTGTTAGTGAGACATGTATAACGAAATAAGTTGTGTAAAGACTCGATCAACCAACTAGTTTGGAGCTAGCTAGATGGCGTATGATAACAAGAAATTGGCACATATATAATTTTGAGTTGAAGAGGATTCAAACCTAGATGTACATACTCAATCCAACCAACTACTTAGGCTTGGTGGGTGTTTGGTTCGAGAACGAGTTAGTTCATCATCTAGTCACACTACACTTTTTTGTTTGCATTGGTTTGTGGGATGAAATGGGCTGATCCATCGTTACCTCATTTCTCACAAGGTAATAATTAGTACTAGTACAAAGAATGAAGACATTCCACTAAATTTAAGTAATAAATTCATGATACACCACCTCATCGAGGACAAAGTGATTCCTCAAACCAAATAGCCTTTCAATAACATCTGTACCCGCAGGTTCCTTGGACATAAAGAGAATATATTGTGGTTATGATGATATCAAATAAGGCAAAATTACCATGCATCTTATCTATAGTTCAATGTACGCCGCTCAAGACGGCTAAACCAAATAATGATGTTGAGAGCTAGAAACTATTATATGACTTACGCCTTCAACTGTTCCTTGTCTTCCAAGTGCAATTCTTTGCTACAAGGAGCGAGAATGCTTTGACACATATATCAAGCTTAAAGATGGCAGAAAAGAAGAAAATTGAGACCTCGTCAGTGGTAGAAAAACAGAATGCTTACAAACTTTGCTGATGGACGACATTGACCCATGTTGCGCAGGTTCGGAATAATGTTATATCCAATTGTTAAGATAACAGTACTCGCGTTGCGCAACATGTTATTTTACTCTGTATTTGGAAGACGTTGGTGCCTACTGAACAAGTAGTACAGCTTTGGGCTTGTTTAGTTCCCACCAATTTCAAACTTTGGCACTATGCAAAAAGAAGATTCCCCGTCACATCAAATTTGCGATATATGCATGGAGTACTAAATGTTGACGAAATCAAAAACTAATTGCACAGTTTGGTTGTACTTTACGAGACGAACGTTTTGAGCCTAATTAGTCAACGATTGGACAATTATTACCAAATAAAAATAAAACGCTACAGTGCGCTACAGTATATCCAGAATTCAGTCGGCGCCAACTTTGCAAGGAACTAAACGTGGCCTTTGTATAAATAAAGGTCTCAACAAACTTCTGTTAGAGGTCAAGTCACACACACAACTGACAAGTCTACGCCGGTGCACAAGGTGGGATATACAATGGGGACTCTATGCACCAGTTCGGAACATTCTCTGTGTGCAAAAATCATTCAGTAAGCACATGGTAACTAGCTACCAGTTTTGTAGAAAAATAAATAAATGAAAATCTGGCTCCAATGCTTAAATATGTGTGTTTTTTACATTCAATAATCTATGATCCTAGGTACATTTTAAGTACACAAGGAGAGAAAATTTTGTTACTATTGGATCACAAAACAAACATTTATGAGTTCTAGTGCCAGATGTCAGATAAAACATGACTGAATTAAGAAAGATGTCCTTGAGTTCAAATGACGTCAACAGTTGATAGCCAAAATTTTATTTCCATTATCCATATTTTTTAAATATCGGTTGTCACTGATAAATGGGAATAACGGAAATATCACGAATCTATTGATGATATACAATACCGGGAACGTCAAATTTGGTGAGTGTTTTTATGTTTGCCGAGTGTATTTCCTCAGGCACTCGGCAAACAAGTTCTTTGCCGAGTGTTGCGCTAAAAACACTCGGCAAAGAGAGGTTTGCCGAGTGTTTTATTTTTTACACTCGGCAAAGAAATAAAATCTTTTTCCTGGGAAAGAAGGAGAAGAAAAAAATAAAATAAAAAACATTGCCGAGTGTCCAGATCTAGGACACTCGGCAAGGGACAAAAATCCTAATTAATTCCCCCGCCCCTCTCCCTCCCCCTTGTTGATTCCCCAGGCCCCTCCCTCCCTTCTTCCTTGGCCTTGCCCCCCTCCCTCCTTCCCCCCCAAGGGTGGCCCGCCCTCCCCTCCCCTTCTTCTTCCCCCGCCCTCCCTCCCCTTCTTCTTCCCGGCGGGCCCCTCCCTTCTTCCCCCATGGCCCCTCCCTCCCTTCTTCCCCACTAGCCCGCCCCCCCTCCCTTCTTCTTCCCGGTGGCGCGCCTCCCCACCCACCCCCCCGGCGTGGAGGGCCAAGGCGAAGGCTGGGCCGACGGATCTCTGGCCAGGTGGTCCTCGCATGACGGCCTTTGGATCCGACGAGGAGGGCCAAGGGGAGCTCCACGGCGTCGGATCCACGGCGGGTGGGGCTCGGATCCAACGACGATGGGGTTGCGGCGGCTGGGGTTGCCGAGGTAGGTCAGCTCTCCCCATCTCCCTCTCTTTT